AAGGAAAACTATTCTAGTATAGGTTTGTATGGAAAAAAATAGTTAACGAGCTAAAGGAAACAAAGACTTAGAAAAAGGAGCAAATTATTCTAAGGCTTGGCTTAGTCAGAATGAAATACTTTTGCAGTGAAAAGTAAAGAGAGTTAAGAGGGGATTTATTTTGCGTTCTGTGGCAATCTTGTCATGTTCGATGAACAACAGATATACACTTCTATACAATGCATAAGGAAACAAGTATATAGTTTAAAAGCAGGAGTTTTGAATTATTAGATTATATGTTTAGCTTGGGGTCGAATCTTTTGTAGGATATAAACTTAAATTGGATCTAAAGCCAGCCCAGTTACGTATGTAGTTTTAATATAGCTTTTGTTTACATATTACTCTTAACATTACAAATACAGTAGAAAAAGTAACAATTATAAAGAAATATCACTAGACATGTGCAGTTACTGAGATTAGAAAGATAGTTCTCAACACCTAGAGCAGTGGTTCTCAACCTGTGGGTCGTGACCATCCTTCCTTCCTTTCCTCCTTCCTTCCTTCCATCCATCTCCTTCCCTTCCCCTTCAATCTTCCTTCCTTCCATCTCCATCCCTTCCCGTTCATTCTCTCCTTCCTTCCTTCCCTTCCTTCCTTCCTTCCCCTTCAATCTCCTTCCTTCTCCATCTCCTTCATTTCCCCTTCAATCTTCCTTCCTTCCATCTCCATCTCTATCCCTTCCCCTTCAATCTCTCTCTCCTTCCTTCCTTCCCCCTTCAATCTCCTTCCTTCTCCATCTCCTTCCTTTCCCCTTCAATCTTCCTTCCTTCCATCCATCTCCATTCCTTCCCCTTCAATCTCTTTTTCCTTCCATCTCCATCCCTTCCCCTTCAATCTTTCTCCTTCCTTCCTTCCTTTCCCCTTCAATCTTCCTTCCTTCCTTCCTTCCTTCCTTCCTTCCTTCCTTCCTTCCATCTCCATTCCTTCCCCTTCAATCTTTCTCTTTCCTTCCTTCCTTTCCCCTTCAATCTCCTTCCTTCTCCATCTCCTTCCTTTCCCCTCCAATCTTCCTTCCTTCCTTCCCCTTCCCTCCCTCCCAACATTTTTGAGCAAGGAAGAGTAAGCTTCTCCAGCGAGCATTGCTATATTGTTTTTGTGATTAATCACTATGCTTTAATTATGTTTAATTCGTAACAGTGAAAATACACCCTGCATCTCAGATATTTACATTACGATTCATAACAGTAGCAAAATTACAGTTAAGAAGTAGCAACAAAAATAATTTTATGGTTGGAGGTCACCACAACATGAGGAACTGTATTAAAGGATCGGAGCATTAGGAAGATTGAGAACCACTGACCTAGAGCATGGGTGTCAAACTCGCCGTGTCACGACGTATCGCAACTTTTTTTGCATTGCAGGAGATGGGGTCGGCGCAGCCTCCATATGATGCAACTAGCCCACCCCGGGCCAATTTGACACCCCAGACCCAGAGTCTTTCAGTAATGGTCCAAAACAAAGATGAATGAACTTTGAATCAGACAAACATCTAAATTGAGTGGTTATGACCTCTTTCATTTTTTAATTACAAGCTTTACTGTCCCACTTCTGAGCTTAATACTGATTAGTTGAAAATGATTAAAACAAAAACTAAAATTAAAATCATGTTTAATCATTTAATCAATTCATAATCTAAAAAGGCCCTAAGTTTGCACTATTTGAGAAACAAAAATCCAGACAACCTCTAACCTGGAGTAAAAAGTGTTTCCTGTATATCTTTATTGCCATTTAGTAGTCAACCAGAAGTGATGCCATAGAAAATCCTACCAAATATGAAGATGCCAAAGGAGTACTGCTAGTGGAGTGTGGTTTGACCATCAATTCAGATGTCTACTGTGAAATGTTATAACAAACATCAGGGCATGCTGACTTCTGGTATGGTGTTGGTTCACAATAATGCTCACCTGCACCCCGCTACACGCACCCAAGAACTTCTGAAGCAGTTCCATTGGGATGTTTTTGATCACCCCCCACCCATAGCCCAGATGTGGCATCAAGTGACTACTACTAAGGAATTTGTAACCTCATAAGACATTATGACAAGTGCCTCAATTTGAATGGCGATTATGTCAAAAAGTAATGTAATGTTGTAGTTTTCTAATGTGTGTAATAAACGCTCTGTCTGCGAGTGTCTGTGATTAATAACCAAACGGGGGTTTATTTCTGAATTGCCCTCGTATATTAGGTATACAGTAAATTAGCTAGACAAGGAAGCAACACATTGTACTGTAGTTAGAAGTAGTTCTAAAGCAGCGGTTCTCAACCTGTGGGTCGCGACCCCATTTGGGGTCGAACGACCATTTCACAGGGGTCGCCAAACAACGCAATCCGCCATTTTTCCCCTCAGCTGATGGCACCGCGCATGTGCACCGCGCCGCGCATGGGGCGCGTCCTTATGGCCGGGGTCGCAGGTATAAAAAGGTTGAGAATCACTGTTCTGAAGTATTTCTTAAATTCAAAATTTACTTTTCTTAATCCAATGAACTAATTTAAGCCTCAATCTTTGAAGACATAGAATGTAAATCAATTAATCTATATATACATCATTTGGAACACCTTACATAGAAGCAATTATAACACTCCTGTAAAGTCACAGGTATTTAATTCAAAGAGCAATGGCCTTTTTATTAAAACATATAAGCTACAATTCAATCTTTAACAATGTAAATATTAGAATTTTAAAATTAAACAATATTAATTAGGTTTTTTTAAGGAAGATGGCACAATCTAATAAGAATGAAAAGTGATGTAGCTAACCCCTTGGAATTGCTAGAGATACATAAACAATAACATAGTTGCCAAACATTAAAATAAAATGGCGAGGTATTTAACTTTATGAAATTAAGATTATCTTTCTTAAAATCAATGCAATCCTCAAGAGGCAATTGATTAACAACATAAAACAGACATGTCGAATTTGTGACGTCACATGATGTCGCGCAACGTATCGTTCCGTTTTTGCCATTGCCAACGATGGGGTGGGCGCAGCTTCCATGTGACACATCTGGCCCGTGGGCCGGCAGTTTGACACCCCTGACATAAAATAAATAATTTTGCTCCAGGATAAAAGCAACCTTTTGTTGGTATTTTCTGACAAAAATATGGAAGTAAATGCAAGAAAACACTGAATTCCCTAAGATGTAAAATACAAGAGAGTTTCTGGCGAAGTTCCTGGGTAGACCAAGCATACTGTACTAAAAACTGCCGTAGTGTACAGAGAGCAACAGATCTAAAACTTTTGTTGTTGTTGTTATTGTTGTTACTGGGCAATTCACAATCCTGCTAAGCTTCTAAACTTAAAAATTGGTTAGTAAACTACAACACTGGTTTTTGACTTATTTATGGAATGATTTAACACTACTGTATTGTGCGTTCTCCTCTTTCCCATTTTCTGTTACACCTCAATAAAAAGGGTTTATTTAAGTTGGTCTTTAAACTTTAAAAAAGGAAGGAAAAGGAGAAAGAGACTTCAAAACATAACCTACCCCAAAATGATTAAAATTAAGCCTTAAGAATGGTCTATGGATCTACAGATTTCCTGATGCGGTCGCTGGGCTAACAATCCATTTAAGAAGTGAATAGTCTTTATTAAATAAACTGGCCTAGAAAAATAGTGAGAGTAAGCTATATAAACATTCTGTCTAGATTCTATCATGATCTGTCACAGTATGACAGCACATGGGGCTTGGGGGGGGGGAATGAATACAAAGCACAAAAGAAAGAAACACTGACAATACTTTGTAAATATTAAGTAGAAAGGGTGGAAAAAGCAACCTAAAAGTTGGAATAAGTAGGTGGGAATCATTGTGCTTTTGTTCTCTCTCACCCTCTTAACCTACATATCCACGCAATCTTCTTATCTAGGAGAAAAGGCTTTATCTTTACCTTTAACTATATATTTGGTAGTGCAAGGACCTGTTCTAACAATCTTAGGCTTGATTCTCTACAAATCTTGCTTAATTTGCTTTAGTCTGTAACTGCAAATATGTTGAAGAAAATTTTATTGAGACCAATGCCTTAGTACCACAAAACATAATGGTTATCAGCAGAAAGTCAGACAGCAGTGTGGAAGGGTCAATTTCTTATTTTAATCCATAGCCTGGCTTTATTATAAGAAGACTGTATCCTTCTTTTCTATCTATTTCAGATCTGCTACAAGTATTCATTAGATCTCGTTTTCTAAACAATATTAGCGAGAATAAAGCAAGATTACTAGACTGCAACAGCCGCACAATGAACACAGGAATAATAAAATGTTCTCATGGCAGGTAGAAATTCTCACAATGGTTGTACATGATGTTGAGCCGAGATATAATTTCTAGGCATCTCTAATGCTTTGGATTCTTGCTTTGAGCAGCAGGAGCACAGACATAGCTCTTAAAGCAGCTGTATCTTTTTTGTGTGTGGCAGCTGCAAAGAAAAGCCACATGAACTGGAAAAGTTCCATAGAAAAGTGTAATTTTTTGTTAATTCCATTATAAAATGTTATGAATGTTACAACTGAAAATATTTAATGCTGAGAACTCAACTGCTTCTTAAAAACGGAAGGTCTTTGCTGATAATCATTTTATGAAACCACTATTCTTTTCACAACATTGTTTCGGAAACCTAACAGGTTTTTTTTTGTTTGTTTACTTGTTTGTTTACTTGTTTGTTTACTGTTTATGAAGCATTTGTAATTCAAGCAGAACTGACTCTAAGTGATAAAATTTGGAAAGAACAATTAAATGGCTTGCTTTCAGAAGTTGTGGATGCCCCATCATTGGAGGCTTTCAAGGAGAGACTGGACAGCCATTTGCCTGAAACGGTATAAACTCCTCTCAAGCAGGGGATTGAGCTAGATGGCCTCCAAGGCCCCTTCCAACTCTTTTATTCTATGTTCTATATTCTATGAAATAATATTTAAGCAGCCATGTTAGAATTGACAAGAGATTTTTTTTTCACTTCCTAAAGATGCTTACCTGAACTTTTTTTAAAGCTACTGGCACACCATCCAACAAGCATGTAGCTCTGTAGACTTCGCTAAATTGTCCACGCCCAATCTTCTTTTCTATCCGAAAATTGGCTAAAGTATTATAGCCCATATCAGGTCGTAAGGCTTTCTGCAGTCCAGGAAACAAAAACAAACATTTACGGTAAATAAACTTTCTTTTATCACCCCCAATAGAACTATTGTTCAGAATATTAACTCTTGAAAAATAAATGTGGGAGAAGATATCCATGGAAAGATAAACTTGCATGTAGTGGCAGGAACAAGGAAATACTCTTTATTGGCAGCTATATTCAAGTGGGTGCTTGAAAAAAAATTAAGCAATGTTTGTTCTGAGTTTGAAATGCTCACTTGAGAAATGGGAATATTATACAAACTTGAGATAATATATCTAATTTTAAAAATGAATTCTAAGTGCCAGTAATTTCCCACTTAAAGATCTACAATTCCCTCCATCTTTTTTTAAAGGTTTTTATTTTCCATTTATTGATACAAAATACAATTAAATTCCTAACCATTGGTACCGCTTGCCCATTGCCCCCAGGCTGCGTCCACCCTCTCTAATCCTTCCCCACTTCCCTCCTCTTTCTCTCCTCCCCTCCTACTCCCTTCCCCTCCCCTTCTCCTCTAACCATCCTACTTCCTCCCTACTCCTTCCTCCCCTCTCATCCCTCTCACACACATGAACGCAGCATAGGGGAAATGCCCAAACATTTACCATGTCTATATTATCATTACCCACCCACTCACCCACCCACCCACCCTCAACCCTCCCCCCCTCACTTCCCAGAGCAGAATACAGGGTTATTATTAAGAAAGTTAACAATAATAAAAAAGAAAATAAAAGAGAAAAAAAAATCATACTTAACCTTTAACTCCCCTTAAATTAAGTCATATAAACAAATCTCTACAACAGTTACTATGAAATTTACTCATAAAATAAATGAAACTTTATAGTCCCATATTTTTTCTGAATATAATCTATCCATCTTCTCCATACAATAATATATCTTTCTTGTGTATGATCCTTCAAATAAGCAGAAATTTTTGCCATTTCTGCAAAGTTAGAAACTTTAAATATCCATCTTTTTAAAACTGACAAACAGGTCTATGTTACCAATGGAAGGTTTGATACTTACAGCATACTTCCAGGTTCAGTTTAAGCAACTAGCTTTGGTCTTCAAAGTCGTTAAGAGGCAAGGATAATGTTTCTGAACAGATGCAGGGGAAGGGAGTACAAGTGCCAAATAAATCATGGAGTTCACTGGATAACCTCAAGTCAGTCTCTCTCAGCCCAGTTATGTTACATGGCTGCTCAAGTATTTGATAAGAATGTAGGAATTGTTAGCCAGTACAAGGCACCATATGAAGTGGTAAGTTCTCATTAATTGGAGGTCTTCAAACCAAGGCTATGTCACCATGTTTTTAAAAACTGTTCTAGTGGTTCCTGCACTATACAAGGGGTTTGACTAGATGCCTCTAAAGTCCTTTCCAGCTCTATGATTTGATTAAAATCTATTTTTGATAACTACCCATTATACTTAAGGACAATGAAAGGTAAAAGTGCCTCTTAATCTTTTCAGCTACTATTCCTTGCTATTTGCCATGTAGGGTGGTCTTAGTGGAAAATGAACTCCAAAATATTTGAGGGTGCCAGACATATACCTGGCTTGGATATTTCTTCTAAAAATCTCCTTGGCCCGTGTCTATATTATATGCATATATGTATAATATATGTGTCTGTGTTTGTGTATACACACACACTTGTGTGAATTGAGAGGAACACATATATATATATATTCTACGTTGGTTTATCGGTCAGTTTAATATTGTTCATATAGGTGTTACATTCAGAAGACAACTCCTAGAGAGAAAACAAAGCTTCCTCTGGGCTACGGCAGATGAAGCAGAAAATATGAAGGAGACATGGAATCCAGCATGGCATTTCATTACTCCAGAGAAAAACTAAAAGTTTAATTCATTACTGATGCAAATACAGGGAAGAATATGTACTGAATCACAATCAGAACCTGTGTGAAAACATTTCGAAAGAGATCAATTAAGCACCCCTTACTGTACTGCTTTAAACAAAATCAAGAAGATGAACACAGTATTAGAATCTACAGTTTTCCTCCACTTCCATTCTTGATGTTCTTTTACAATTTACTATTTAAACAGACTCACACTTGATTAATACACAGCTGACATGTTATATATACAAGGCAAGACAATGAGTAATTTAATATTCCAGACTGTATTTTGCTCTGTTATACTGTACAATGTTTCTAAATTAAAGTTTTACAGATTTATGCACTAAATACAATAGTCTAAACTGAAATAACAAGAACAACAAAAAGATCTGGAGGAGGACAACAACTGTCTCATTTCTAGAATTTATATTTGAACAGCATACCAACTCAAAATGATTTGGGAACAGAAATACTCTCCTTAAAATTCCAGCAGCTACTAAAAATCAACTTAGACTTTTGACTCATTGGTTAGTCAGCCCCACAATCAAAAATATTCACCAGATGAAGCAGAATCCAAATATGGAGATAGGAATGGCAGTATACCAATGCAGGAAAAATATACTCCGAGTGCCTATGCAGGCTTAATGAGTTCAGCTTTAGCAGTTAGAGGAAAACATTCAAAGTTGGGGAAACTCTCTCTTATTATTCAAATGCTCAGGCTACAGAGAAACAGAATGTAGCTTCATTAAGTTTGGAGTATTTCTGTGGTTATTTAACCAGCTTATATTTCAAAATTGGAATAGCGAATTGCATCCTCTGTCTGCACAGCAACTTGACAAACATTAGCATGAACTACTAAGGCAGTGTGACAGCCGCATGCTGAGAGCAAAGTCTCCCTAATGTGTTTTGGCATGCAGGTTTGTAATCACACATTTACATATGCAATGACCTACATTTGCATGTCAGATCACACACTGTCTGGCTTTATTAAGACCGGGCACCTCTCTGTGTTTGGCGGTCAGAGTGGCGAGAGAGGGCCAGAGGGTGGTGGGTTTTTTTGGCAGTGGAGAGATGAACTGCCACTGAGAATTAGACTGAGATAGCCTGAGCATTAGACACTTCATTAGAGGTAATCTGTTTAACAGTGGGCACTGTATGTAAACTTCACAGCCCATTTGCAGCATCTTCTCTGCCCACCCAACCCCAGTGGTCTTCCTTCAAAGGGCAGTGTGGCTGACTGACAGCTTGTCTCATCTGCTCCCTTGTTCTGTCATACAATTCAGACACAGAGACCTGACATGAGAAGCAACATAGCTGCACATCTCCAACTATATAGCGGGACTCCCTTCCAGACATAAAGGAATTTGGAAAAGGAATAAACTCATGGATAATAGGGCCATCAGTTGGTCAGAGAACATATTATATAGCAATGATTAGACTGCATTATAACCAGGCATTTTTTTAAAAAAAAATGGCAGTATTTTTTATAGTATCTAACAAGGGGATTCTGATTTTTTTTTCAAATAAAGCAGAAATTCATATACTGAACTAAAATGACCTATTTTAACTCATTCCTGTATTCAAAATAAATCCATAATTTGTGAATGAGATGAGAGTTAACAGACTGGGGGGACAAACTCTCATTCTCTTTGCCTCTTTTGACATCAATTCTTCCCTCCTTTCCTTTTTCAGTAGACAGTATGATTTGCCTGGTACGGCATACAAAGAGATAAAAATTTGCAAAATGCCATCCAAAGCATAATCAAACAAGCATCCATCACATACCAAGAAGCACATATTGTCACATTATACTTATACGGAAGGAAACATAACCACTATGTAAACTGTATTTTCAGTCCAAATTCAACTTCTTTGTTGAATTTGGTGCCTGTCAACAGCCTTTCCCAATCCTTACTAAAGAACTGCAGCTATAGACCCGGTTTCAACATTTTAATTAAACAGTTGCATTCCACCACAATGGAGGTCCATTCTTCCAACAATAGCAGGGCCGACACTTTTATGAATGCTTGAAAATGATGCTTGCAAAAGAGAAAGAGAAGCACATTCTTGCTAATGATTTCCAAAATCCAAGAGGCAACTTTGCTTTGTTAACCATTACTTTCAATTATTTATAGCTGCACTATTTTACACTGACTTAACATTCTGTGGACCTAACATAGTACATTTTCTCTTTTAGGACAATAGAAAAGGGTTCCAACATGTAAGTTTCCCTTGGGACTATGAAAAAATGCTGCAGGGATACCAGTTACACTATAGCACATTATCTAAAAATCACCTTGCACACTGCCTTTCTCCTAATTACACTATTTTGTTGCTCTGATTCTTTATTCTTTATTTATTTATTTTTATCTCTGGTATTATTCAAACATGATACAGGGGTTTTTTTTCAGTCAGCTGAGGTGCCAACATCTGATACAAACCCTGTCACAAATCACAGAGCAAGGACAGTCTTCAAATTTATGATTTAACATTCTGCTCTGAAGCACAAGTCACAAGCCACATCATCCCTTGCAGATGTTTAATCACACTCTACCCCTGAAGAGGTTATTATTGCAACTGTATATTAAAATAGTTTTTCTTTCATCGCATTTATCTTCACCAGTCCTGGAGCCCTTTAAAGAATTGTCCTGTTCAGATATACTCTTGAAGCTTAGATTGTTGAAAAATGAAATTTCTATGTCACTTTCAATATGAGGGATGGGGGTGGGGAGCTGGCAGAAATACTCACTTGCAAAACAAACTGAAGGTAAAAATGTTTTTGTTACACTACTGTGAGCAACTTGAACCCACTTGTGCATTTCTATTCTTCTCAAAATACAACAATAATTCCCAAGGTTTGAAGCAATTCTGGAGCCTGGCTGAATACTAACATGAGAACGTATCACTAGAAACCAAAATACCTTTGAACAAATGCAAGTAAATCTATTCCTATCCACTTTAGCAGATAGGCAATAGTCAGCTATAGGAATACGTTAAAGGATTTTTCCTAAAAAAAAAAAATTGTGAAGTAGAGAAGATAGACAAAGAATAAGGTTGGGTTATTCTTATTGTGATTTTTCCTTGGAAACATCATTGTGGCAAAAATCCCTTTTCTTCATAACCTGGTTCTTCCACCGATAAACTATTAGCTTTACAACCAGATTGAGCTATAAATCATCAATCTCCAGCTGTGTAATCTTACTACAATTTCTCAGCTTAATTTGGCAGAATACTCACAGACAATGCTCAGCTAAATGAGAATCTTCACTGCAGACAAGAATGAATTCTTACCAAACAGATAGAAAGCCCACAGTAATGTAAAGGCATCAGAGAGACTTGTGTATTTTCTCAAGGAGTTTTTTCCATCTGCCCTTCCAAATAAACTTACTTTATTTAAAAGGTCTGTATGGCCAGTGCTTTTTTTTTCTAAAAAAAAAAGTGCCGGAACTCACACACGTCATACAACCCGCCTTGCCTACCCTAGAAGGTTCCATCCAAAAAAGGTGCCGGAACTCCGTTCTGGGCGTTCTATGAGAAAAAAAAACCCTGTGTATGACCATCCATCCTAGAACACAAATCTGGGCAGCTCACAACAACAATGTATTTGTCAGCTCCCTTAATGGCCTTAGACCACAGGTCGGCAACCTGCGGCTCCGGAGCCGCATGCGGCTCTTTGAGCCTTCCCCTGTGGCTCCCAGCCTCCTCTGCCTTTGCAGAGAGAGACAGAGACAGAGAGAGGCAATTGCACTTCCCTGCTTCTCTCTTTCTCTCTGGGTGTGTGTGTGTGTGTGTGTGTGTGTGTGTGTGTGTGTGTTTTGTGTGTGTGTGTGTAAAAGAGAGTGCACTCACAGGGTTCTCTGAGGAGCTGAAAAGCTTTCTGGGCGGAGCTCCTCCCTTTGCTGCGTCTCTGAAGGAAGCAGGAAGCAGGAATGGCAGGAGAGAGCTAGCTAGCCCAGCTAGGCTGACTCAGGAATTCTGGGAGTTGAAGTCCATGAGTCATAAAAGAGATGAGGTTGCCTACCCCGGAGGTTGTTGGACAACAGCTTGAAGCTTGCCAGGTGAGCAGCAGATAGGAGGGGGGGAGAAAGAGAGAGAGAGAAAGAGAGAGAGAGGGAGAGAGAGAGAGTGGGGGAAGAGGAGTGGCAGACCAAGGGCAGATAGAGAGGGAGGAGAGAGAGACCCTTTTGACATCTAAAATGAAGATAACACTGCATATATCCTTTTTTTACCTGTGTGTGTATGTAATTTTATTCTCTTAAAGCATTCTCTTGGTGATCATTGTTTTAATAGTATGGATATTCCCAAGAGTCATATTTTTACTTTTATTTTTAATGTGTGTGTGTGTGTGTGTGTGTGTGTGTGTGTGTGTATGTATGTGTATATGTGTATATATATACACACACACACACACACATATACACATACACACACACACACACACACACATACACACACCTATAATAAAGGTAAAAAAGGATATATGCAGTGTTATCTTCCATTTTAGATATCAAAAGGGTTTTGCGGCTCCCAGTGTTTTGTTTTTGGTGGGAAACGGGTCCAAGTGGCTTTTTGAGTGTTTTGGGTTGCCTACCCCTGCCTTAGACTAACAATTGTGATATATTTACAGAATGCTCCTCTCTTGCCTGGGAACCATGGGTTCCCACCTCACGAGCCACAGCTCTCACATTATGGACATTGTTGCTGGAGCTGTGGTATAGATAAGATCACTAGATCCAAAGAAAAAAATGAAGCAGTTAACTGCGATTACACACTTAAGTTTTCATCCAAAACAAAAAAATAAAAGAAAATAGCATCAGAGATTTAATTTTAAGGCAAGGAAATACTTCTTGAAAATATAAAATTTGTGTAATTTCTATTAAGATAATTGCTAGTTTCAGGAGAATTATTTAAATTTGGCTTAAAAAAATAAAAGTGTATCAAAAGTGATACTTTTATTGTGATTAGTTTTAGTAATATAATCCTTCCAGGCAGTGGTGAGATTCAAATAGGTGAACAACCATTTCTCTGTGTGGATGCCACTTCCAGAAGTCCATTCTGGGCTACCAGTTCTGCCATAGTGGTGCAAACCGGCTGAATTCCACCACTGCTTCCAGGGATCTCTGTTATTGGATGAATTAAAATTTTGATAAAAGGCTTCAATTTTGCATTGTTCTTTTCTTCTCCCCCCCCCCTTTTTTTTGACAGTATTCTTCATTACCCCATTTAGCCCTGTCCATGTTCTCCCATCCATGTTTCCATGGTTCCAGAAAAGGGAATCAGAATCAGATTCTGGAATAGATACGGTAATAAAATTGGCATTCAAAAGACCTTTCAGTCTATACAATAACAGTTCTTTTAATATTAATGTACTCCTGACTATCTACTTGTACTAGATTATCTAGATTAGCTTACCTGTGGTTGAAATTGAGACACAGGAGGACCTGGGAGGCCCTGTGATTGTTCATCCATTATTTCGAATCACAATCCTTTTGAATAACCTGTATTAAAACAGGATACAATGAAAACAGATTTTTCCTTGCATTTTTATGAGACACTTTACAGGGTTAACATGAGCAAAGGATTATAATCACAGTAGTGATAAAAGAGGAAACCACAGAAAGAATAGTGAAGTCAATGTGTCAATGTGTTTACATACAGGACGAACAAGTTCAGTCAGCCAAAGCAACATCAAGTGATCTTTTGCATGTAACCTTTAGCCCAAGCTCATATTTAAATATCTGTGCCCTTTTCTTTTCATTTTCTACAGATGAAAGCTGGTGGCTCACAATGTGATCTATATAATCTTTTTGTAACTACAGAGACATCTGCAGGATCCAAGGCATTCATCATAATGATTAAACCATCATTGTGCTATACATACAGTACTATATATACTATATATACAGTGCATTCAGAAAGTATTCAGACCCCTTTCACTTTTGTTATGCTGCAGCCTGATTCTACAGTTGTTGAAATTCATTTTTCTTCTCAGTAATCCACACTCAGTACCCCATGACAAAGTGAAAACAGAATTTTAGAAATGTCTGTAAATTTATTAAAAAGGAAAAATTGAAATATCCCATTGCGTAAGTACTCAAACCCTTCATTCAGTACTTTGTTGAAGCACCTCTGGCAGCAATTACAGCCTAGAGTCTTTTGGGGTATGACACCACAAGCTTTGCACACCTGGATTGGGGGATTTTCTGCCATTCTCCCTTGCAAATCCTCTCAAGCTCAGCCAGATTGGATGGCGACCATCAGTAGAGAGTCATTTTCAGGTCCCTCCAGAGATGTTCAATAGGGCTCAAGTCAGGGCTCTGGCTGGGCCACTCTAGGACATTCACAGAGTTGTTCCTAAGCCACTCTTGTGTTGTCTTGGCTTTGTGCTTAGGAAAGTAAACTTTTGGCCCAGCCTAAGGTCCTGAGCGCTGTGGAACATGTTTTCATTAAGGATATCCATGTACTTTGCTCCATTCAGCTTTCCCTCAACCCTGACCAGTCTCCCTGCCCCTGCTGCTAAAAAAGACCTCCACAGCATGATGCTGCCACCACTATGCTTCACTGTTGGGATGATATTGGCCAGGTGATGAGCGGTGCCCGGTTTCTCCAGACATAACATTTAGAATTGAGGCCAAACAGTTCAATCTTGGTTTCATCAGACCAGAGAATCTTGTTCCTCACAGTCTGAAGTCCTTCAGTTGCTTTTTTCCAAACTACAAGGGGGCTTTCATATGTTTTGCACTGAGGAGAGGCTTCCGTCTAGCCACTCTGCCATAAAGCCCAGATTGCTGCAATGATGGTTTTCCTTCTGGAACTCTGTCCCATCTCCACACAGGAACTCTGGAACTCAATAAGAGTGGCCATCAGGTTCTTGGTCACCTCTCTTATTAAAGCCTTTCTCCCCAATTGTTCAGTTTGATTGGGCAACAAGTTCTTAGAAGAGTCCTGGTTGTGCCAAACTTCTTCCATTTGAGAATTATGGAGGCCACTGTGCTCTTAGGAACCTTCAGTGCAGCAGAAATTTCATCGTAGCCTTCCCCAGATCTGTGCCTTGCAGTAATCCTGTCTCTGAGCTCTGTAGGCAGTTCCTTTGACTACATGGCTTTTGCTCTGCTACAGTATCCATTGTCAGCTGATTTCCAAATCATGTCCAATCAATTTAATTTACCACAGGTGGACTCCACTCAAGGTATAGAAACGTATCAGCATAGATCAAGAGAAATGGGGGGCACCTGAACTAAATTTCAATGTTGTTGCAAAGGATCTAAATATTTATTTAGATAAATATATCAGGTTTTTTTCTTTTTAATTAATACACAGACAGTTCTAAAATTCTATTTTCGCTTTGTCATTATGGGGTACTGAGTATAGATTAATGAGAAAAAAAATGAATTTCAACAACTGTAGAATCAGGCTGCAACATAACAAAATTGACAAAAATGAAGGGGGTCTGAATGGACTGTGCAAAGGGGGTGGGGTTTGTGTCAAACAGAGCAACTCTGCTTTCATCATTTGCCCCCTTAATTCCATACCCCTCACCAGCAGATAGCTCTGAATACAAACATCAATCACCATTGTTTTTCATGGAATATTTACAGGTAGTCCTTGACTTAGGACAACTGAGCCCAAAATTTATGTTGCTAAGCAAGACAGTTGTTTAATGAATCTGGCTTCCCCATTGACTTTGCTTGTCAGAAGGTTGCAAAAGGTGATTGCATGAACCCAGGACACTGCAACGTCATAAATACATGCCAGTTGCCAGGCAGCTGAATTTTTATCACAGGACACACACACACACGACCCAATGCTGCAACAGTCATAAGTGTGAAAAAACAGTCATAAGTCACTTTTTTCAGCGCTGTTGCAATTTTGAATGCTCACTAAATGAATGGGTGTAAATTAAGGACTACCTGTAATTTCCCAGTCTGGTCACAATCCTGGTGTTTCTTTTTGGTTTTATATCAATGTATCAACAAGGTACAATCATGCCTGGCTTTTCAACATCAGCCATATCAGCCAACATCAGTCAACTATAGGATGACTCCTCAAATCCAAATGTTAAAAATCAATAGAACAAGCCACCATAGTAATTGAGCATCTCCTCTAGTTGTCTCATAATTTTTCTACAGAATTCATTTGCATTCAAGCAACCGAAGAAGGGAATTACAGGGATGAGAAGCAAACTGGAGTTTCAGAAAACAAAGATATCGTGCTTTTAAAAAATGCATGAAATATACCATCCTCCAGATACTGATGAGCTACAACTCCCAACAGCTTCAGCTAGCATAGCCAATGCAGAAGGATACTAGGTGTAGTCAGCAATTTCTGGAGAGCTACTGGTTTTCTTACTCATTACAGAATTTGTGAAAGCTTTCATAATACTAGCATCTTTCAGCTACAAAAATGCACAGGAGTCAGTTCCCATGAAAAATAGTTTGATTTTCCATAAAAGTTTCAGAATAGATGCTGGATTTAAAGCACAGGAGGGGAAGAAGAGCTGGCCATCATCATCACTAACAGCATTCCACTAGTAAAAGCACTCCTTGAATTATTTATTGATTTTATTTAAACAATTTATGCAGCAACCAATTTCATAGCAATGACTCTGGATGACACATGAAGGATTAAAAAATAAACAATACACAAAATATAAAACATCCAAAACTACTCATTTAAAATAGTACTGATAATATAACACGTGCTTGATTTCTAAAAATCATTTCATTTCAATTGATAAAAACCAGAACAAATTTACTAATACTGATGGACTTAAGTTCCCAGCCCAAATGCCTGAGGGAACATCCTACTCTTTAATGCCTTAAGAAAGGCCAAGAGGTCAGGACCAGTGGTTCTCAACCTGTGGGTCGGGACCCCATTTGGGGTCGAACGATCATTTCACGGGGGTCACCAAACAACGCAGTCCGCCATTTTTTTCCCCCTTTTCCTTAGCTGTGCTACTCCCTTTTATTCTATTGGCTTTTGAAAGCCAATAGAATAGACTCTCTTGAATAGAGTCTAATTCTATTGGCTTTCAAAAGCCAATAGGAATCGTCTAGGCTGCCTCTGCCCTGCTGAGCCCGCCAAAAGCCCCATTCTGCAAACGGTGCTGCACCAGTTGAGTAGTCCTCGACTTACGACCGGTTGAGTAGTCCTCGACTTACGACCGGTTGGGCATTAAAAAGGTTGAGAACTACTGGTCAGGACTATTCAGCAATAGGAGGTTCCGTAGGAAATGAATTTCTCAAAAGAACTCAGGGTCAAGCAAAAAAAAAAAAAAACAGCTGTAAATGTAATCTATCATCTATTTAATCACAAAAAAATCTTATTGAAATTTTTAAAAAGTCCCAGAGAACATTGTTATTGCCAGAGAAGCACTGTAAACATACTAGAAATAAGAATTCATGTCTACTCATTCTCATACATAAATAAATAAAGGAGATCCTCTCAAAAGTAAGCAGACATGTAATTCTGTAACAAACTTTCTGAGGTAAATCCAATGTAAATTGGTAACGCTCATGTAAATTCCACAAGAGCAAGTTGGTACTGCCAATCCTTCTAAGGATTGTAGATTTGCATGCATTTTTTTCTGAAACATGCGACTATAAAATAATAAAAGGTTAAGTACATATACAGATTTGCCCAGATTTAAATCCTATGGACGGGTTCCCAGTGGAGTTTCTCCTATTTCCAGAGCCCCAAAGGCATTAAACATTTAGATCAGCTTGACAGTTGGCCCAAATATATTTCTTCTCATTGGAAGCAATAAGAGGAAATATTTTTCCCAAATAAGAAAAAAAGGCAGTGACAATGTTTTTATCCTGCCAGTCTTGTTACCAAATGGGCATCTGAAGCTTTTGGAGAAGGATTTGAGAGTTCTGTTCAAACAATAAGAACATTCTGCCAGTAGCAGCATGAAATGACAATTTTTAAAAGTCACATTTTAAAAGCCATGAAGATAATTCTTTATTATCCATTTGTTCAAGAAGAAGCTATGATTGAAAGTCAGCATTGAGTAAAATGAAAAAAAATGACTACATTTTATTAGCTATAATTTTTTCCCCAATAGTATTACCTCAGGTCATGTAGATCTGAAGTAACATTAAATGTGAAAACACTATGGAGGATATAAAAAAATGTTGCAAAGAATGATAACAACAAAAACGCATTTCTACAGCTCCTCATTAAAGCCAAGCCAGAAATCCAAAAAGGTCTATCCAACAGAATATCACATAGCAATATTACTGACATAATAGTTGCACTTCTAACACTGAAAGCTTTTTTAAAGTGCTATAAATAATGTAAGTTAAATTATAGTACAAATAATCTTTCCTAGACATTTTTCACCAACATTTCTTATTTTCACCTTGTAATTCTCTACACAACAGTCCTTAAGCCCTTTGCACTGTGTTTGAAACATTACCAGAAAACTGTTCCACAGTAGTTATTTCCTTTTGCTTTTAATCTCAAAATAATTGTAACTGATGCAAGCAGCACACATCTTAATAACAACTTGTACATTTAAGTGTGTTCATGCATGTCCATGTCAGTGTGTGTGTGTGTGTGTGTGTGTGTTTCCATCCTCTCTCCATCACACACAAACGCTATACTAAAGAATCCTAGGGTTTCTTAGAAACGTTAGATATTATGATCCATAACATTTTCCATCTTCCCTGCACTATGTTCAATACAGGTGCTTTCAAAAACCCATTCATTTTCACTGATTTAGACCAATGTGTGTTCTGGAGAGAGAGAGAGAGAGAGAGAGAGAGAGAGAGAGAGAGAGAGGTCTTGTTTGAATTTTATATGCTGAAAAAGCAACTCTTAAAATTACATTTCAGAATGTTCTACAATCTAAAAGAATTTAATTATTAATATGGACTTTTAGAGGCAGAGAAATTTTATTAAAATATATAGTTATACACCAAACAGAAATTAAAAGTGCATTATATTCCATCCAATTTTAAATAGGAAAAAAATATTCATGCCTGCACAAGATATATCAATCAGGTCCAGAAACACCTTGTGGACATAATGATGGTAAAAACATCAGCATTCATTTTACACACATGTAAGTAGCATACAACTGCCATATGAGAGTAGCCTGGATAGTTGTAATTAGAGGGGAGATTAACTCTGCCCTCCAAAAAATGATAGATATGGTATTTCAGAAGCAGGTGTGCTGCTGTCTCAATTTCGAAGTCTGAGGAGAGACACCAATACTCTTCATAAGGAATACTATTGTATCTTTCCATCAGGACCACAGAGTTAAGAGCATCCAAATCTGACAATATAAAGGCCCTCCTGTGAGATAAAACCACTAAATGATACAGATACTGGGGGATTGTAAAATGGGACTCTGTTAACATTGTAGCAGAGGTGAGAAATGATTTTTTTTTTTTGATAAATCAAAATCTAAAATTCTCTGCTTGACTTCTTTCCAGGTTTCAACCAAGCTTAGCATAGATTTGGGGGGGGGGGAGTCAATGTCATCCATTATTTGTTTCTTCCAAGAAGACTGGTTGGTATCTGTCAGGACTCATTAGGGTAGTAATTCATCTCCCAAAAATTTGTTTAAGCTAAATACTTCAATTAGCACAGACAAGAGAAAGGCACAGATTGCATAAACTCTACAGTGTTAATGAGCCAGAAATCAGCAAAATACTGGCTCAGGCAAGTAGGCTCTTTTCTTAATTGCTCTAAACACTTAAGCCAGCGGTTCTCAACCTGTGGGTCGAGACCCCATTTGGGGTCAAATGACCATTTCACGGGGGTCGCCAAACAACGCAGTCTGCCATTTTTTTCCCCTGTTCCTTAGCTGTGCTACTCCCTTTTATTCTATTGGCTTTTGAAAGCCAATAGACTCTCTTGAATAGAGTCTAATTCTATTGGCTTTCAAAAGCCAATAGGAATTGTCCAGGCTGTCTCTGCCCTGCTGAGCCCGCCAAAAATCCCAGTCTGCAAACGGTGCTGCAAGTTGTCTGCAGCGAAGGCGAGCTGTCTGGAAGTTTCCACCCCTCCCTGCTGAGCAACTACTAAAAATGTAAGTAAAAGAGGGCCAGGGGTGGGAGGCTGGCGGGCGCAGGGAGGGTTGCTGGCGTGCGTGGGGCCCGGCAGGTGCCTTACCTCCCTTGGGCTGGGCCAGCTGGTGGCCCAGTCGGTGGTTGGTCTGCGCCGTGTCTGCCGCTTGCCAGCTACACCTTGGCCGGTGCAGGGGGCGGCACCACGCATGCGTGGTGCTCCCAGGCAGGGAAAGTCCTTGACTTACGACCGGTTGGGTAGTCCTCAACTTACGACCAGTTGGGTAGTCCTCGACTTACGACCGGTTGGGGATCACGGCATTAAAAAGGTTGAGAATCACTGACTTAAGCAGTTTCAAGCAATGCTACTGACCTCTCCAGCCATTTACTAAGACATATCTCAATCCAAACTAAATAAAAATATATTTGTAAGGGGAGGGGGAGATAAGTAGCAGCTTCCGCTAAGTGGACTGAAAACTTAACTTTCCCTTTAGAAGTAAAAGTTTCTCCAAATGTAGTTCATGTTTACGCCCATGGATCAACTTAATACCCCAGGAAATTTTATCACAAACGTCATCTCCTTTTCATTCCTTTAGTAAAGGGCCTGAGAATTTTATAAGAGGTCTAACTAAGAGGTCTAACTAACTAACTAAAATATCTCCTCCTCCTCGGTCTCCCCCATACCCCACTTTTGACAAACACAAACTATGCTGGATCCACTGGCAATTGTTTGCAAGATACAATATGTGTGTTCAGTGCAACACTTTCGAAACTGCCTAGAACTCAGAAATCAAATTCCCACGGACTTCAGCGGGGTTCGTTCCTGGATAAACTAATCTAGGCTTGCAAAACCTGGCACCACATTCACTGGAAAAACTCATCTCTCTGCTAGCTTAAGCCTAATCAGTCTGGGTTAAATACTGAAGCCGGTCTAAGGCCTACGCCTTGCCTTAAAAACCAGGATAGATCGAGAGCAAGAACCAAATTCGGGCTGGGCTACGTTCTCGCTAACGAACTCCGCTTCCAGGAAGTCGGTTGCGGATGCCGTCCCCAACAAATCTGGAGAGGATACCCATTCGCGTACTTTACTTACTAGTTTACTTACTAGCTACTTACTACTTAGTAATAGTTCTCATTAACTGGCTGGCTGTTCTCGTTCTCTTGCCAAGCCGAAAACCAACACCAGCCCGGCACTTTCTTGCTTTTCAAGCTAGCGTCCCCCAGCCGGCTGCGCTCGCAGGAAGTCCTTCCTGAGAGTGCTGCCGATCTGGGGCTGAAGGAAGGATGAGAGAAGAGAAAAAGGGAGGAAAGGAAAGCTGCACCGGTTCTCGCCTCGCGCGAGGCGGTCTCCCCCTCTTTTCAGCCAGAAAGAAAACCAGCAAACAGACCCTCCCCTCCCGGCGGCCACCACGTGAGCGAGGAAAGCTGGGCCACCGTCTCAAAGAAAAGGCAAGCGAGGAGAAACTACCTACTGCCCGAAAAGCGGCGAAGAGCACCAGCGGGGACGAGTCGCGGAGGAGGAGCCGGGGAGGCTGAGCAGAGCGCACGCGTCACGGGACGCCCGGGACTCGCGCGCTGGGTCGGCCCAGGAGTGGCGTTTGGGGAGGGGCGACCGTGGGCTAAAAAAATTCCCCGGCACCGGCTTGGCAGCTACGGAAGCAGAAGCTTTTTCAAAGCCCGGAAAGTTCTTATGTCGAGAACTGAACTTTGGGTTTTGTTTTGTTTTTTATCTGAAAGAGACGCGTTCATAGATTGTAGCCGTCCGACCGTGCGGTTTTTTTTTTTTTCCCGCAGATCCCTCTTAAGGGCCAGCAGTGGTGTTTTATTTCCTTTTCTGAGCCTGACATTGCTTGTAATCGTTACGTAATTCAGAATTTATCATGAATGCTTCATCAAGGAAGAGGCTGGGTTCCGTTTGCGGAGCTTCACTAGAGGATTGAATCTGGAAGCTTCCACTGCGCGGAGAACTTGGGCTGGATGACCTAATATGACCTCTTCCAGTTTTTGATTTTATACAAATGAAAATTGGAAATGTCTTCAGTAAAACCCTGGACTTTCAACAACTCTCTTTCACATTTAGAAACGATTTATAGCAAGGAACTGATTGGGTAAAAAAAAAAAAACACAAAGCACACAAGCCTAGGCAAAAAAATCATGTGTATGCTGTTTACATATAATTTTGCTCATTGACAACGGTGTTACATATCAAGTATCGGTTACAATCATTCTAATTAAAATCCTTATCTGCATATCACAGCCTAGTAAAATGGTTTAAAGGATTTCTAAGCATGGGGACTACTTCCTTATGACTAGTTTTCTGTAAAATTTATTTATTTATAAAATTTATTAGTCACCCATGTCATCATAGGGCAATTCTGGGTAGCTTACAGTTACAAAAGGTTAAAACCAAAACATTAAAACCAATTTTACATCTTGATTTGTTTTGCTTCAGGAATTTTATTGTCTTTCTTAGAATTATGTGTAAGGGACAAAAACAGCTGTCCCTGTTTTATTCCTCTGCTGGTATACTTACATATCTTTGCTTAAAATGTAAATGTAGTACTTAACTTGAAGGAGGCAGAAGAAAAGGCTACATCCCTATGGATCTGACATCTAGTTATACAATATTATATCTATTTTCCCCAAACTGCTAGCTAGAGCCTTTGAATTACATTCATACAAATGCATAAAATCTCCTTCCTCTTCAGACATTTGTGAAATATTTTGTGTGATGAGTTCAAGGATACAAAGACCAAGAAAAACACCTCTATTTCTGTCTACTGGAGGAGTTCAAATACTTTTGCAAACTGTATATATCTATGAATCTAATGTGGCCTTTATCTTATTACTTCAGTTCAGAAAACTGAATAATGGCAGTGTAGCCATAATTTTAAGAGATAGGTTAATGCTGCATTTTTCTGCTAAACAGGAATACTAATATTAAACAACTATGGAAGGGAATTATATCTTTATAATGTGCCAACTGTTATATTTTAGCTTCATTAGTAATGGAATAAGGAAATATATATTAGAAACATGCATCTCTCATTTGTTGTATTTATTTTGCTGAAAAAATACAATAAATAAGAGATGCGTGTTTTAAATTCCTCACTATTTCACCAGATATGAGAAGGGTACCTGGCTAATTGGAGAACTTACTTTATGATTGTACTTCTCACATTACATAAAAAAAAACATTCCCGTGGAAGAGCTTTCTTTGCTTTTGGCTCATCTGTGAGGAACTGTCATAGAGGATTCAAAGAGGTTCCTGCCTGATGCGTACATGCGTACGTGGCCAAGCTTGTGGAATCTTACTTCTATAGACCAATAAAAATACCCAGATCCATTTTTCTGTGATTCTCTAGATACTGAATTCCATTTTCCATTAGATGTTACAAACAATTATGAGAGTTTCAGAGATGTTTTTTCAATGAAATGTGCAGAGTTCCCCAAACCTCTTACTAAACTTTTTATACAGATAGTCCTTGACTTACGACCACAATTGAGCCCAAAATTTATGTTGCTAAGTGAGACATTTGTTAAACGGGTTTTGCCCCATTTTACAACCTTTCTTGCCACAGTTGCTAAGTGAATCACTGCATTTCTGTTAGTAACATGGTTGTTAAGTGAATCTGGCTACCCCATTCACTTTGCTTGCGAGAAGGTTGCCAAAGGTGATCACTTGACTCTGGGGCACTGCAACCGTCATAAATATGAGTCAGTTGCCAAGCTGCTGAATTCTGGTCACACGACTGTGGGGATGCTGCAAAGGTCGTAAGTGTGAAAAATGGTCCTAAGTCACTTTTTTCAGTGTCATTGTAAGTTTGAATGGTCACTAAACAAATTGTGGTAAGCCGAGGACCATCTGTAAATATCACCACCCAGAAAGATGCTTGCTTCCTTGGTGAAAATCACATTGTTGGAACTGCTGTTTGTTCCCAACAGTAAAACAAGACGTTTTGCTCATAGAATTTTTCAAAAGGGGATTGGATAAATTTATGGGAGAGATCTAGCCTTCTGGAATGTGAGTGTTCACAGGACCTTGCTATGTTCATCAAAAGGATGTAAACAATGTCCCATTGCACTGCAAGCTGCTCCCATTTCATATGTATGCAAGTATCATTCTATCTACACTATTCTCTATCTATTCTCCAAAGCGCCTGAAGGCAGGACAAGAAGCAACGGATGGAAACTAATCAAGGGGAGAAGCAACCTAGAACTAAGGAGAAACTTCCTGACAGAACAATTAACCAGTGGAACAACTTGCCTCCAGAAGCAGTGAATGCTCCAACACTGGAAGTTTTTAAGAAGAGATTGGACAGCCATTTGTCAAAAATGGTGTAGAGTTTCCTGCCTGAGCAGGGGTTGGATTCGATGACCTCCAAGGTCCCTTCCAACTTTATTTTTTTTATTATTATTATTATTATTATTATTATTATTATTATTATTATTACACTGCCCCTCCCTTGCCTGCCTCTCCCAAAGATACTGCTGGTCTTAAGATGATTAGTCATTACAAGAAACAAAACACTGAACTAAGATGACTCTTGACTTGATCCAGCAAGGCTATTATTACGTACTTATTTCTGGACTCGTCACTGTCGTCTCAGTGACTGTGTTTGTGTGCCAGTTTAGACTGCTACACCAGCCACAACTCCACCTGGATAGAGGCATCCTTGCAAAACACTCCAATGACTTCTAACTGGATTATTGCAATATGCTGAATTGAGATTGTGGCTGCCAATGGTTTCAAAAACCTCAATTACTTCAAAACAGAGCAGATGAACTAGTAACTGGATTGGCCAGTGCAATCACAAGGTGCTACATTGCAGCCCACCAGTTTCCGTTACATTTTGAAGGGGGAGGGCTGTGGAAAATATTTGTGCTATCCTATAAGGACTTAAGTGGCTGAGGCTCAGATTACTTAAAAGGACATCTCCTCTCACATGTTTCTACTTGGTCAGTGAGATTTTTTGTCATTTCTCCATGATTGTCTTTGAGAATCTGACAAAATCTTCAAGCCACTTCTTATGTATTTAAATGCATGAAATACATAGATATTTATTACAAAGAAAATCAAGTGATGTTCAAGTACAGTAATTGAAATATTTTAAAATAACCAATATATAATATAGTAATATAAATGTTTTATTAATGCATTAAATCAATAACAAGGCAAGCTAAATTTCTGCTAGTGCTTAGTGAAAACAAAGTTATAATTTTTTCCCCATCCAAATGCATAAACCTCCTTGAAATCTATCTAGAGCAAGGATCTCTGCCCTAGAGAATGTGGTAAAGTAGAGAGAGACAAAAGAAAGAACTTTTTTAATAGTGATGTCCTATTTCAAAAGTTCACCTGCTCACTGCATTATGATCTTTTTGACAGCAGGCAAATACCTTTCTATGTCTGTAATTCGTTTTACCGTAATGACTCCTAGTTTGAGTGAGCTCTGTCTCCTGTTATGTGACTGTTGTTATTACTGAGGATCTTATTGCTTTGCCTGGTTTATTGTTTATAACATTTCAATATTGAATTTCTGATTATATAAAACCAAATGTCTTTTAAATTATAATAGAAAAAAACATTAAATAAATGGACACATTCTATAGGTAATTTTATTATATTTTAATATGTACATGCTTCATTCAGGTAATAGCTGATTTATAATATATAATAGAATAGAATAGAATAGAATAGAATAGAATAGAATAGAATAGAATAGAATAGAATAAAACTGACATTCCAAGTGGATACAGAACATGAAACTACTAGTGGACAGCCCCTTTTGAACTTTACAGTTACAGTCATTTATGCAAAATCATAGCAGTGTCAATGGAAGAGTTTTATCTAATTTTTACTATAAAATACTTGTGAGTAATTTATAGCAGTAAAATAATTTTTTCTCTACAGTAGTTTTACATAATAGGAAACCTCAGTGTTCTGCCTTTTGGAGTCTAGAACGGAATCAGGAGCTTAGCTCTAAGACATAATTTGTTTAACCATCAAAATTGGCTGAATTCATACAACATGCCATTTCTGAACATACAGTTTGTAAATCATAATGATGTTAAGCCAAAACAAAATGAGACCCATTATGCCTTAATGCAAGATATGAATCCAGCCATATTCCCTTTGTGGAAATTAAGCTATGCATGTAGCTTTCCTGGGTAGAAATATTTTGGCCATAAATATCCCTGCTGTTGAGTCCGTCGTTCGCGTGCGAATGATGAAGACACATGGTGACAACTAATAATGCTTTATTCTTCTACTCCAACTCCAAGCAAAAGCAAAAGGCATGCAGGCCTTTTTATAGGGTTTGAACCCCGGACAGAGTGAACCAATAAGAGTTCTTCTTTCTTCGCACCTTGCGCATGCACACAAGGCTGGCGCTGCTCTGTCTGGTCCCAGGCAGCTTTTAGAATGCCCAGGACCATTTGCAACAATTCTGAGCCTGCTGAG